GGCCTCTCTCATCTTTTTAAGTGGGAGAACTTGCACAATTAGTGGCTGACTAAATACTTTTTTGCCCCACTGTATCTATGTGAACTTGCACTGATTTTTTTAAAAAGATGGAGTCATTTTAAAACTGATATGGTTGTTATAGAAACTGACTGCTTGTTTTCCAGCAGGTTCAAAACTATCTATAGACCCAGTCATTACAGTGGAGGGGCTTAGAAAGCGAGTGAGCCGCAATCCAGTAGAATCTGCTATGGAGCTGAAGGAGAAGCGGTCTCGCACTCAAGAAGCTAAAGACATCAGGAGAGCTCAGAAAGAAGCAGCTGGCTTCTTGGACAGGAGTACATCCTCCACACCGGTCAAATTCACAAGTCGAAACAGGCACTCAGACGTTATGCTTGAAAAAGGGGAGGTGGTTGACTTTTCCTCCCTCAGCTCTTCCGATCAAACACCTTTGACCAGCCCATCTCCTTCTCCCTCTCTGGATTTTTCTGCTCCTGGAACTCCCGCCTCACATTCAGCTACACCTAGCCTGCTCTCAGAAGCTGATCTTATTCCAGATATAATGCCACCCCAGGCCCTTTTTCACGGTAAAAGCAATCTTTACGTTTCCTTATCTGTTCATTTCTATTAGATTTCATTTGCACAACCATGTTTTGGCTGTAGTTGTACTACTGAGATGTGTAACATTTGTTAGGAGTGTGTATAATATGTAACATTATAGCCAATGTTAATTCATCTTTTTTCTTTCCTTTTTTTATTAAGACAGACATAAAAATAATCAGAATAATAATTAATATGCAAAAGGAAACATTGATTTTTTTTTTTAAAAACCCACAGTTTGGAAATGCATCTAAATATGTTGATAATCTTAGGAAGATTTTAAAGATATTAAACATATGCTTATCATACTTTGCCCAGAAAGACATTTGTATAGACAGAAATATAACTATTACGAATAACTGGTTTGACAGAGCTAAAATACCATGATTGGGATTTATATAATTTAAAACTCAGTATACATATTTGATTACTATTTTTAAAGCATTCTCTCATGAAGTAAAGGAAAAATGATATTTGATAATAATACTCATTGGGTGTGCACTATACATACTTTCTCTCTGTTGAGATGTGGAAACGGATGGAACTTCTAAATGGCTGTTTTGAATGTTCTGAACTCAAAATAACACATGCAAGTGTTCCAGTTGTTTTGGGTGCTATATTTGGACTTTTTTGTTGAGGCTTGCAACTGAGTTTGCCAGTACAGCAGCAGGGAATAGAGATGCCCTTGCTGTTATTGTCTTAGCCTGGATGGAGTGATCTGGGGAGTGGAATACTGGGCAAAACAGCAGATATTAAAGTAGCACAAGGCTCAACAAAGAGCCATTCTGGATCTAGATGCTGCTACTGGAGGATTGTCTTCAGTGCTGCTACAATTTCACTGGTGAATATTGCCTGGCTGTCCTCATCCTATTTTGATAGGGTTTTTTTAAAAAAAAATGTGCTCTAGGTTCCATTTAGTTTTAAAGCAGTGTACTGCATGCTAGCAGGAAAGCATGAAAGAAGGATTCCCCTTCTTTTTGAGTAACCAGTGCTAAGATCTGACTGAACCTGACAATGGCTGGTGGTTTCTTGCCTACCACACAAGAATGTTCTCCTGGGCAAGTGATGTGGTAACACTTCACGGCTCATATCTGGACTCTTACTTGGTGGAGTGAGTCATTTATTTTAAAATAAAACTCTTCTTGGTGGACTTTTCTGTCCTTCCTCAGAGGGAGGAATAAGAGATAAGCCCCTTACCTTGCCATCCTGAACATTTTCAGCCTCCAGATCAATGCCTAGATATGACCAGTGGTGGAGGATTAGTGCTGTCCCTCTGATACTACTTCACTTACTTACTGGTTCATATTGTCTGAGAGGTATACATTACATGAAGAGCCATGTGGCGTTGTGTATTTCTTCAGTCCCTGCAACATTACTGAGTAATTCTTATTCTGTATGGAGATTCACTTCACTCACCAAGTGCTTCTCCAGGCCTTCCATTATCATTGGAGTGACTTGCCCCCTGCACCATCACTGGAATAACGCAGACCCATGTGATTCACATCAGTGATGTTTGCTTGGGTCATCTCTAGTATTATACCATCTGAACTGAAATGAGATTTAGCCACCACCATCTCATCCATCCAAGAGGACGGTATATAATACAATAAAGTTAAATATTTAGACAGCAAAGACAAATGTTAACTAGTCTGCTTAATGATCTCACAGTTGATAGCAAACGATGAAGGGCCTAGATAGCTTTGCTTTCTTGGTCTCAAAATAGATAAAGATGGATCATGTGCTCAGGGGGTAAAAAGAGCAGTAATTTTAGATAGGAAAGTAATAAACTGAGACAAGGTCATGAAGCAGAAGGACATTTCTGTGACTCAAAGATCATAGTAGCGTTTTTTTCCAGTAGTAATACGGAAAAATGTTCAGCTATTGAAAGCTGAACATTGAGAATGAGTAAGGGAAAAAAGATATATGCCTCTGAATTATGGCATTGCAGATAATTACTGAGAGTACCAAGAACTGCAAGAAGAAGCTTATCTGTCCTGGACCAAATACAGTAAACATTGACTGTTCCCTTGAAGTGATCATCAGTAACTCACATTTTTGTTTTGTTTTTTTAACAGTAATTTTATTGAACATTACAATTAAAAAGATAAGAACTAATACAAACTAAAAAAATAAAAGAAAAGAAAAAAATAGAAATCACAGAAAAGAAAGGAAAAGAAAGAAAAGAAGAAAGTATATATCTCTATATATCTTCCCCCTTCATGACAACAAGTATAAATAGTTTTCTTAACTTATTACCTTCTCTTAAAATATAACAAATGTATCATATCTATAAACAAATCTTTAGTCTCATCATTCAGTCCTGGTCAGCAAAAGTCCATCAAGGATTACCAGAGATAACAATGTATCTGTTCTAACTTTGATCAAATAAACCAACTTTATATTCTTCCATTTTAACGATCTTGATTCTAATCCCCTCAAATAAAGTCCTAGAACTTGATTTCTTCTCATTTTTTCTTGTCCCTTCTCACAAAATTCTTCACAACTTAACAAGTCTGTTTTGTAAATCCAGTATAAGAAAGTTATCCAGGACACTCTCTTGGTTTGGTAAGACATCAACTGGTTTCAGGTTTCATTTGTATATTGCATCTCCTTCCACATCATTCCCATAGCCCATCATTTTTAGGTCCATTTTCAGATGAATCTTAGTCCTATCCTATAAAGCTTGCCCCTCTTCCATATCATCTTCCAAACACAGTCTGTCTATAATGGCAGACATTTTTAAAATTAACTTCTGGGTCCATTGTTCATAAATATTCTTCAGTATAGCCTATGTTAAAGTATTTTGCTCCATTCTGTATTAGTAAGTCAAATTTAAATGCTCTTCTCCTTTAATTGTAATCTTTAATTCCTTCTGGTTCCCTTTAATGTCTAACCTTCAAAATCCCATCTTATATATTTTTTAAAGTATTCAAAACAACAGCATTTTCCTACAGGTAGGATTCTTATAATTAGTTTCAAAATCTTATTTCAAATCCATCTGGACTCTTAGTCCATTTATAACTTTCCAAAATCAACACTCTAATCACCCTTTTGCTGTTTATCCCCCTCCCCCCCAAAATTGTAAGTCCTTAAACTTGTATAAAACTTATTTCGCTAAGGATTGAAGGAAACTCACCCAGTTAGCAAAACTTGCCGTTATGAAGTTTCCTAATATTCAAAAAGCAGTTAACAAGCAGTTTCCAAGAGGGATTAAGAAAGGAAGTATGCAAGCCCTGTATCCTTTTTAAAGGTGCCAAACCGTGGTTTGGGCTACAGTGGCATTCCCTGATCTCCCAGCACTCTAAACCCACTGAAGACTGCTATTTTGTGGTCTCCTCATGAGGAGCAGCTGTATGGAGTGCTTTTGGGCAAGAGGAATGGCGAGGAGTTGGTCCATTCATCGGCTCTTCATTCCACCACGGTCATCAGCTCTGCTCTCAGTGGAGGCGTCTTCAGTTCGCCATTTCCTCCCCGAAGTCCAGCAACTCACATTTTTGGAGCATATAATATGAGTGGATGATAGGACTTAGAAATAAACTATTATACTTGACAGATTGGAGGAAAGTAGAAGGGGTAGCAATTAAGATGGATGGTCACTGGAATGTCCTTGGAAAAGCTAAAGATTATCATCAGGGTTAGGTTGAAGTGGCAGTCCTCTCTCTCATGTACTTTCTCTCACACACATTTTAAGTATATATTTTCCATCTCTCTCTTCAGAATGACATTTGTATAAACAAAGGTAACCTGTTAGGAAAAAAATATTACTATACCTACAAAATAGTAATCAGATTTGAATAGAACTATCCTTAAGTGTAGGGTTGTTCAACTTTTCAGTCAAGCCAATATAAATATCACTGATTTACAGAAAGGGTGTATTTCAGTTTTCTACTGTTGTAAAACTTGGCTAACAGTGGGGAAATTGATTTTATCACTAGCACTTTGGAAGGAAAAAAATCAAAGTTGTCATGACAACATATTTTCAGAATTTCCCAGGTATCAGGTATCAGGAAGACTATTCAGTTGTATTGTTTATAATATCACAGTGTTGCTGAGGCATTTTGTTTTGTTTATAGATGATGAAGAGATGGAAGGTGTGATAGACCCAGGAATAGAATATATCCCTCCATCCAGTGTATCAGGGGGAATGATCCAAAAGAAAGTGAAGATGTCTGAACAGATTAAGCAAGAGCTGATGAGTGAAGAAGAAAAAGCAGAGAGGCTGGTTGATGATATGGAAAATGATGATAATACACATACCTTCCTTCAAGATCAAGGTCCAGACAAGCGGAAGATACAGCTGGCTCATAAGGATTCTCAGTCCACTATGTCCAAGTATACATCTATTGGTATCTATGAAGAAAAACTTCTTTTGAGGAACTTGGAGTCCTGTCCAAATGCAGCAGCCTTGAATCCTGAGGCTCGGAGGCTGAGGCGCAAGCTGATAGTCCGAAAAACTAAACGAGAGAGAGGTCTTTCCCTTTTCAACTTGGACGATATTGTGAATTCTGCTCTTCTCTTGGTTGATAGGTTTTATGGAACTAAAGAAAGAAATGCTGCCTGTCTGCCAGCAGATTATGCAGTATACAAAACTTCTTGCCAGGCCTTCCGAATCTTGGATCGATACCAGGTTCCTTTTTTTTCCTGTTATTTTCACTATCATTAGCATAATCTACTGTACATTATCCCTCATTTCCCCTAGGAACTTACAGTGATGCCTTTTGGAATCTCCTGCTGTATCTTTAGCCACAACAACAACGACTTATAAAGTAGCTTGAGCTGAGACATAGCAATTGGCCCAGAATGTCTCTATGTGCTTTATTAAGTTATTCTCTACAATTCAGTATGTATGAGAATATATTGAAAGCCAATTTGATGTAGTGGTTAAAGGCTCTGAGCTACAAATAGAGAGATTGTGAATTCTAGTCCAATCTTAGGCACAAAACCAGCTGGGTGACTTTGGGCCAATCACTTCCAAAAAAATCTTGCCAAGAAAACTGCATGAACTGGTCTATGTAGTTGCCAGGAGACAAGACTGACTTGAAGAGCGCAAATAATAAACAAACATCTATTGTAACATTCCTGTAAATAGAATGTAACAATAATGCTATAATGACAGATTACTCCAACTTTTTGTTTCAGGGGAGTGGGCATTATTTTTTTGGTTGAAAGTTATATATGACTTTTTATGTATTTTATATTAATGCATTCTAGTTCTAGTAGGCGTAATATTGCTGTTCCTTAACTTTAGAAATAAATGAAAAATCTGTGAAACAAGTTCTGATGACCCCATGATCTAGGCTGATATAATATTATTAAAAGTTTTTGCTGTCCTTTTGGTATACATATAGAGCAATATGATGTGCTGTTCAGTACTAAAGCTTTTTCCATGCTTGCTTCAGATTATATCCATGTGAACGTTTGTTGAGGTTACGATAGTAGTTGGCAAAAGCATTTCTGAGGAATGAAAAGGAAGTCAAAGTACAGTTTGATCACCTCCTTACTTTGCCTTAACAAATCTTTCATCCTATGGGAGAGAAAAGACTGCAAAATGGAAGAGAAAGATGATCCTCTACTTTTGGAAACCAAGAGTAAAACCAGAGAAAATAACAATTTTTCCTCTCAGGAGGAACCTGGGTTGGGGTGGGCACACTGGCACCCTCTAGATAATTTGAACTGCGGTTTCCATAGTCCCTTGGTAGGGCTGATTGAAGATGCAAATCAAAGCATATGGAGGCAACCTGGTTTCAAGGGGTGGAATTTTTTCAGGTGCCCTTAAGGACTGTCCATGTCAATACCCAGCAGCTGCTCGCAACCAAGAAAGCTAGATTCTGACAGCATAATATTAACCAGATTTATTGAAAAGGGAAAAATGGAGGTTTAGGTCATGGAAATTTTGGCAATTGTTTATGTTTACTTCAGCACCCTGTCTTATTCTAAGTTTCTTTGGGCAGGGATTTCTTGATTCTCTTGCCAAATGTTGATGCAGTGGGGAGGTGGCTATACATTTTTCTGATAAAGGAGGAATGTGCAGATGTTTCAAATCTGTAATATTTTGCAAACTGCCATCGTCTTTCCCAAGTATTGTGAAGTCTATTACAGTCATATGTAGAGATGTTTCTGTTTCCCAGTCAAAAGTAACATATCCTGAGAATAACTTTTGTGCAATAAATATATAACAATAAAAACAGCATTTAGCAGCAAATTACAAATAAATACATAGTTTGTAATAGTTTTCTTGTCCATGCAGTGTCACCAATTCAGAACTGTTACTCTTTATCTTGCACAAAATTGGACATAAAAGTAAGATAAGCAATTTGATTTTACATGCAAAAGGCCACTTATTCAATAGTAGGTTGCTGTAGGATGCATGCAGCTTCTTGCTAAACTGGAAATCTACTGTATATCATCTTTGTATATTCCAATTCTCTTTGCTGCACTTAACATTAATTGCAGATGTCATCACCTGTATCTGCCATATCTGATTAATCATTGGTACTTGCCGTATTACTGATTTTACTTCCTGATTGCTTCTTTAACTCATTTATTTTTTAAATTTGTTTTACAGACTAAGGTTTCTGCTGTGAAAGAGTTCCAACACAGAACAACATCATTTTGGTGCCGACTTGTAGGCTCTGAAGATGCAAATGATCATAGCATCATGAGTCCCTATACTTCTCGTGTTTTGAAACCTTATATCAGGTATAGATATGCCATATGGGAAGACATTTTTCCTTCTCTGGCCTTTAGATTCTTTGATGTTGGTAAATATTAGTAATCAAGGAAATGCCACTGGTCAGCTATAGCACTCCCATTGCTTTCCCTCATTACTTTTTTCAGAAGAAAGTAAAGGACAAAGAAGAGAAGGGTGGCTCTCAGGATAGAGGGAAGAATTTGCTACTGCATGTGGTGGAGGAGAAGGAAGATGGAGCTTCCTTCTTGCTGCCATAGTAAAGCACTGACTGTGATGCTAATTAAGCACTCTCTCCCCTTTTCCCCAAAACACACAAAATGGTAACATAAGCTAAGCATTTTTATGACGTTTTAACATTCCTTAGCAAAATGGAGCAGTCACAAGTACCTTACTTGCTACTCACATCTCTTGCTTGCTACTCAGTTGCACTGGTTTGAAGGAAAAGTTGATGAGTCTAATGGGAGATGAAATACTTGCATTTGAAACTACAGTGCCATCTGTGACATCAGAATGAGCACTAGAACTCCCAAGAAGCTCTTGTTCTTGAAATTCTGCTTTCTGAGTTCAGAGTTCCTTCCTCAGCTCTTTAAAAACACCATCATACAGGATGCAGGATGTTTCTGCAAGAAGGGATAAAGGATAGTGATTCAGGTTGTAATATTCATGTTTTTCATAGCAAAGAACTAGATAGCTCTAAGCACTTCTCAACGGAGATGGATGGAAAGTATTATTGCGGTCCTGCTTAAGATAGCATATATGTATTTGTGTTTACCTTTGGATTTTTCCTGCTCACATGCTTCTTAATCAGTAGAAATGAGTTGGGAATGGGGAATCATATTAAGTAATTAACCAAAAGTAATATTAGCCATATTTCATATGTTTATCCTGGCCTGCTCACTTTTTGGAGTGTATTCCCACCCGTATGCCTATAGAAGAGGAGGTTAAAGGGGAATATGATCTCTTTCTTCCAGCAGTTGGAGGGCTGTCACAGAGAAGAGCTTCTGTAGCTCCTGAGGTTAGGACAGGAACCAGTGGATACTTTACAGAGGGAGGCTCAAACTTGAAATATTGAAGAATTTCCTGACTGTGAAAGCTATTAAGCAATGAAACAGCCTGCCTCTTGGAATCCTGAGTGTTCCACTGCTGACTGTTTTCAAGCAAAGTTTGGACAGCCATTTGTCTAGAGTAGGGTGAGGATTCCTACCCTGAGAAGGGGATTGGCCCAAAAGACCTGCAAGATCCCTTTGAAACATATTTCTATGAAATACAGGTCTGATCTACTTTGAATGTTGTTGCATTGAACTCAGTTTTTTCATCTGTTTCCTCCAGGCGTGATTATGAGACCAGGCCTCCGAAACTTCGGCTGCTGATGGAAATACGAGCTCATTATCATAAGAATGATCCAAGCTGGACTGCTGAACCAGAAGCACCCATTGATTATTGCTACGTGCGCCCTAATCACATCCCAACCATTAATTCAATGTGCCATGAGTTCTTCTGGCCAGGTAGGATTTTACTAGATCAGGGCTGCCAATCTTTCTTGGCCTAAGAACTGCAGCTGATTGGCTGGATCACCTGGTCAGCCAGCTGAGGTCTTCCACTGACTCAGTGGTGTCACCGTAAGTAGCAAGTTAAAAGGTTTTGGCAGATTTTGAATGTAGGGGATGGGTTAAGAATGGAAACTGGAATTTTTGCCTCATAACAATCTTGTGCTTCCATTCCTACCCTTATTTTTATTTTTTTAATCTGAAAATCTCATTGCCAAATTTAGGCCATTTGCCACTGAATAATGATAGTTTGATTTTGTCCCATTAGGGGAGAGATTTAAAAGGTGAGAACAGATACATTTTGTCTTCTCATGGCTTATTGCATCTATTTTCGCATTTTTCATGTAAAAATCACTTCCAAAAAATGTTGGGGTTTTTTTGCCATTGAATTTCACTGGAACAACTTTGGGTGCTTTCAGGAGTGCTAAGGGTTACATGCAGTGCATGAACTGACAATCCCAGTATTAGAATCTACCAGAGAAATGGCCTATTTGTGGCATACAAACCAGGAGACCAAGGCAACCAGGTCTCACTCCACCATGAACCACCGGGGGGTGGTCCATCACATTGGCACTTATTGCCACCCCTTTGGTCAGGGGACAACCACACATGGGCATCCTAGAAGTGGAAGTCTCGCTAATTGACATCTGGCTACATGGATTAACCCTTCTTTGCTTGCCAGTCACTTCAGAACAGACACCATCAAGTGTAGCCTTTGGCTCCAGAGTCTTCCAGAGAATATTGTTAAGAAATCTGAGGAGAATATTCCTGTAGTCCATCCTTTGCATGTTGGCCAGAAATAAAAGCCCTTTAAAAGAAGTCATATGATGTTTGCATGCAGCTAAAGAAAGTTGATGGACTACGATAATATACCAAAAGAAATCATGAACTTGTGACAAAGCTAAAGCAGTATTTTGTACTTTTATTGCAAAACTGTTTTGTTTAATAGGGAGATATAATGCATAAAAAGTATTATAAATGCATACGGGGAATGCCTTTTTATTAACTCTCAGTAACTTAGACTATTTTTAAAATAAAAACAGTCTTGTTGCTCTTTGAAGATCAGCATAGTTAATTACTGCAAAAGGTTATATTAGTCACAGTCGATATGATTACATATAGGTAGTCCTCATTTAGCAACCACAGTTGGGACTGGCAATGCAGTCACTAAATGGAAAATCATATGACCACAACTGTGCTTATGATTTTACTTCAGCTTTCCTTTCTCCCCACTCCCCCGCCCTTTGGAATGCTCACCTGGCCCTGGGATAATTAGCAAGAAGTGAATTAATGTTTGTATTTGCATTCATTGGAGAGGAAGAGATTACAAGAAAGTAAGCAGGCACACAATGGGGAATACACATCAAAAGGAATGCGCTAGCACCGGCTGTTTGCCTAGCATGCTTGTGGCTCCCAGCCTCTTCCTCTTCAATCTCTCTGTTCTGCGGGGGGGGGGGGGGGCGGGGAGAGAAAAAGGGTCAGACACAGGAGAGATTGCTTAAAGAGATTACTTGTTTAGGCAATCTCTCCACTCTGCAAGGGAGAAAAAAAAAGAAAACAACTGGGTCAGGCATAGAACAATGTGTATTAACTGACACTAATGGCAAACACATGACTGAGAAAGACACGCTGCAAAGGTCGTCAATAGGTGCCTTGGTCGCAAAGTTATTTTTTTTAGCACTGTCATAATTTCAAATGGTCACTGCACGAGGCAGTTGGTAAGCAAGATCTACCTGTACTAATGAAATGGACTGTCATCCACAACAGTTTGTGTTAATTAGATTTTGATATTAAAAATATTTTTTTGCTGCAACATAAACTACTCACCTGGAAAATATAATAATTATTTTTATAAGATATACTAATATGTAATTGTTTTCATCATTAATATGTCATTGTTTGTGTCTCCTTTTTTCATTATATAGGGATTGACCTGTCAGAATGCCTGCAGTATCCAGACTTCAGTGTTGTCGTTCTTTACAAAAAAGTTATAGTTGCTTTTGGTTTTATGGTGCCAGATGTCAAATACAATGAAGCATATATCTCTTTCCTTTTTGTTCATCCTGAGTGGAGACGATCAGGGATTGCAACTTTTATGATATATCATCTTATTCAGGTATTTTGAAATGATTGTTATTCTGAGAAATGTGGCTTGCTTAATTTAATTGCAAAGACTCATTTCTTCAAGTGAATAAATGTTCACTTTTGTAAATTATTATTCATTGTTCAGCTTTTTCAAAATTAAGCAGGTTATTTACCTATTTTTTTATTTTGCTTTAGGGCCTTGAGGTAGCATCTGAAAAAATCCTGAGGTAGATAAATCCAAAATTCTCTTGTACATATAAGACCCCAAACTGAGTTCTCAGCTCCTTCATCAGATTTAATTTCTAGTCCCCCAATCATCCTTGCTGCTGTTCTCTGAACCTGTTCCTATTTCTTTGAAACTTTCTGGAATGTGATGCCTAGAACTACACACATTAGTTAAAATGGAGTCATTTTACTGTACAGAATAAAGTACAGTAAACAAATAAATTGCTTTTTGTGATTTGGAAATTATACTTCTGTTGATGCCCTTTGACATTGCAATTGCTGTTTTTTCAGCCACATCACTCTCCTGGCTCATATTCAGTTTGAAATCAACTACTATTCCAATATTTTTTCACTTTTATTTTTTACCAATCCAGTTGCCCATGCTATACCTTTGCATTTGAGTTTATTTTCTAAGTGAAGTTCTTTGCAAACTACTAAATTTCTAAAATTGAAGATTCTGCTTCAGTGTCTAAAAGAATTTTGAATAGTTGATAGAAGTTTGTGGTAGTGTATTTCCATTTCTCTTAAACAATTGAAAAGAAACAGAAAACACATACCTCCCAAGGTTTGTCCTTAAGTTGAATTTGTATGTAAGTCGGAACAGTATTATTGTATAATACTGGATAAGTAATATTGTGTAATGAACTCAAACTGTTGTGGATTTAGCTTGAATCATTGTGTATCTAACTCGAATTTTGCTACGGCAGGCTCCATTCTTAACTATGGGTCATCTGTAACCCATGCATTCTTAACCCAGGGACACCTGTATATCAATATTCCTGTTTTCAAAGATTGGGAATTTTTAAGTTTTGTGATTAGATATTGGAATGTTATTGGAAGCCTACTGAGCTTCAGAGTGACAAACCACTAAAAGGATTTGATTTCTGACTGAAGTGATGTATAGTAAAGTTATGATACTTGGAAGTGGAATAGGTCTTTTCCTTTATATTTAATATTGTATTTATTATTCCCAGATGATAAATATGTCAATTTTATGGCAATCTTATAAAAAACCTCTGTTCACTTCCCCAAATGTGCAGTTCTTGAGGCTTACTTAATTGAGTAATCTGAAGTTCTCTTTGTCCTTGTTATTGGTCAATGTTGTAAATATTCAATTTCAGTGCCAGTGTTTCACTCCATATAAGAAAGTAGCATGAACAGTGTTACATGGAAGCTAATATAGGATCTGGTATTCTCACTCTCTTAAGTTGTTATTTTCTTTTTTAATTCTTTCCTCCTCTTTTGAGGAAGAAGAATCTTGTAACCTTTTGATACTACTCTTTTCTTCTTTTTACAGACTTGCATGGGCAAAGATGCAACCCTCCATGTCTCTGCTAGTAATTCTGCAATGCTGCTATATCAGAAGTTTGGATTTAAAACTGAGGAATACATTTTAGATTTTTATGACAAATATTACCCTTTGGATAGTAAGGAATGTAAGCATGCATTCTTCCTGAGGTTGCGACGATAATACGTAGGCTCAGTGGATATGTTTATGGAAAACCAGTCAGTAAAAGAAAATTTGGCCCAGAATGCTGTTACAGTGCTCTGTTTTGTTCATTAGTAATAAGCTGCATATTTGCTGTTCAGCTTTTCTGAGAAGGGTGATTCTTTGATGTTTCTGAGAAGATGAATTCTTGACACCAAGAAAAATCCATTAAAAATACAAAAATGCAATTTATTGTAGAGGTAAAATTAGGTCAGTATTTTTTGTGAAGGGCCTTATCAGTTCAAGTGTTAGATAATTACACAATAGTAGCAACAGTCAGTTTTCCAAATTAATAAACACCTGAATCAAGTATTTACATTGCCATTTTTATTAAGCAGGGACTTATTTCCCTTCTCACCTATTAAAGTTCACAGTTGTGTATCTTTCAATAAGAAAAAGGTTTTACGAAATAGAACACATTTTTGTTCTAAGCCCAGGACCCAATAGCTGTGCTCGGGACACTCCATTGGAGCGAGCTCGCTTTGTCTGTCTGTCTATCATCTCTCAATCTAGTCTTTAGGGCCTTGCAGAAGGAAAGGGTTGCAGCTGTCCAACCCTCAAGGGAAATTATGTTTCATGAGGGAAGTGCTGCAACAGAAAAGGCACACCCCAATAAGTGATACTGTTTTGTTGAAGGGACCTGAAGTTTGCCCACTCTGCCAGATCTCATGGGCCAGGCAGAGACAATTAAAGACAGGTGGTCCTGCAAGTAACCCAGCCCTGTGCCTTGAAGGGCTTTATAAGTGATAACCAGCACCTTGAATTGCACCCTGAACCTTATAGGGAGCAAGTGCAGCTAATAAAGCAGTTGTGTTACATTCATCCATAATAACTCTTGCAACTACATTCCGCTAATTGCAGCTTCTGGATGGTTTTCAAGCCAGCTCTGTGTAGATGTATTACAATAGTCTAAACGGGATATGACCAGGGCATGAGTGACCATGAATAGGACCTCTCAATCCAGAAATAGGCACAATTGGTACACAAGGTGGATTTGTGCAAAGGTGCTCCTGGCCTCAGCTGCCACCTGCCCTTCCCAGCAGGAGTTGAGAATCAGGAGGACCCCTAACTGTACACCAGTTCTGTCTGATGGAGTGTAACCCCATCCAGAACCAAAGTGGGGAGTCCCCAGAGTCAAGGGACCTCAAAATCTACAGGCATTGGTTTTACTAGGGTTGAGCTGAAAACTCTATCGCCATCTAGACCCCCACAGCCTACAGACACTGGGAAAGATCCTTGATGCCATTACTTGGTTGGCCTAGGGTGGAGATCTGTAGCTGATGATACTTGATCCAGTGATTTTATGTATAGCAGAGAGACCGTAGAACATTGGAGAACCTCACGATGCAGTTGGTCCACACATCTTAATATTGAGATTGAAAAACACTGGGTTAGATCAAGACACCCCCCCCCCAACAACAATGAAATGGCCATGGAGGAAGGAGTAGAACTGATGTAACACTATGCATCCCATTCCTAAATTTTGAAGCTGATCCAGTAGGATACCATGATTGATGATACCAAAAGCCACTGAGAGATCAAGAAGGGCTAGGATAGATGCATTACCTCCTTGGTCCCACCAGTGATCATCTAAAAGTGTGTTCAGTGCTGTCTCAGTGTTGTTTCCTAGTGTGAAACCTTACAGTAAGGGACTGGTCTTTCATCCAGGACCCTCTGTAGCTGCAAGCTCACCCCATCTCTCATGTTCTGTTGGAGCAGATGGATTGTGATAGAATAAAAAATAAAAATCTTCTCCATCACAGGAAACAGTGGTAGTCAAAACAAGCCCCATGCTTCCTCATTTTTTAAATCTTAGGCCACTGAAGTGTAGTGGTGGTACGCTGAATGCTGGGGAAAAAATAGCCAAAGGGATATTTTTATTTGATTCAATTTGGACACTGCCTCCAACTGACTTTGGATAGTTCACAAATAGTAACATAAAAACCAGTATTAACCAAAAACAAGATGGCATCCAGGCACTATATACAAACAGAAAGCAAAAATACTACACTCAAGGGGCCCCATCTGTCTCACCCCAAGTCCTGGGAAAACAACCTTCAGGGCTTTGCGGAACACCAATAGAGCAGGAGCCACACCGATTTCAGGGGTGATCTTATTCCAAAGGGCAGGTGCCCTTTTTCTTTAAGAACACACATTCGTTTTCCAGTTGAACATTTGGTTATGGCTTGTATAGTATGACTTTTTACCTCAGAGTATTTATCTGTTTGGGGCCACAGAATGGCTATTGGGAAAGAGGAAAAAATCCTCTCTCTTTTCTGATCCAGTAGTGTACAGAACTACTCCTCACTGCTGCCTATTTTATCTAATTCCCACTTGGCTATTTCAAGATCATTACAGAGAATGGAACAAAGGAAAGGGGAATTGTAAGAAGTAGGAGAGAAATGAAGAGGTTCAATATTTACTTCAAAGATTTTTCTGCTTCGCATTTCCTTTATGGTTCTGGACAGTTAATGATTTGTTAGAACATCCATAAATGGTTCTTAAAAGACACAACAAATATAAATACCAAGTCCACAATAACAACATTAAAAGGCCTGGGTAAGTTTCATGGGCCAACCTACAAAGAGTGCATTGTAATAACCCAGTCCTGATGTTACTGGTGGATGAATTAATCTCTCCAGATAGAGATTCACCCAGTATAGTGATCCAATCTGAAAAATGGCTGCCAAAGCTATGTTGCTGCTTAGCAACAATGCTGTATCTAGGAGGATCCTCAGCTTGCAAGTTTGCTGCTTGACAGGAAGCACTACCCTGCCTAAAATAGGGATCCTGAAATTCATCTTGTAGAATCCAATTTTTGTATACAGTGGGGCAAAAAAGTATTTAGTCAGCCACCAATTGTGCAAGTTCTCCCACTTAAAAAGATGAGAGAGGCCTGTAATTTTCATCAGTGACCAAATACTTATTTTCCACCATGATTTGCAAATAAATTCTTTAAAAATCAGACAATGTGATTTTCTGGATTTTTTCCCCCATTTTATCTCTCATAGTTGAGGTATACCTATGATGAAAATTACAGGCCTCTCTCATCTTTTGTGACCAAATACTTATTTTCCACCATGATTTGCAAATAAATTCTTTAAAAATCAGACAATGTGATTTTCTGGATTTTTTCCCCCATTTTATCTCTCATAGTTGAGGTATACCTATGATGAAAATTACAGGCCTCTCTCATCTTTTGTGACCAAATACTTATTTTCCACCATGATTTGCAAATAAATTCTTTAAAAATCAGACAATGTGATTTTCTGGATTTTTTCCCCCATTTTATCTCTCATAGTTGAGGTATACCTATGATGAAAATTACAGGCCTCTCTCATCTTTTGTGACCAAATACTTATTTTCCACCATGATTTGCAAATAAATTCTTTAAAAATCAGACAATGTGATTTTCTGGATTTTTTCCCCCATTTTATCTCTCATAGTTGAGGTATACCTATGATGAAAATTACAGGCCTCTCTCATCTTTTGTGACCAAATACTTATTTTCCACCATGATTTGCAAATAAATTCTTTAAAAATCAGACAATGTGATTTTCTGGATTTTTTCCCCCATTTTATCTCTCATAGTTGAGGTATACCTATGATGAAAATTACAGGCCTCTCTCATCTTTTGTGACCAAATACTTATTTTCCACCATGATTTGCAAATAAATTCTTTAAAAATCAGACAATGTGATTTTCTGGATTTTTTCCCCCATTTTATCTCTCATAGTTGAGGTATACCTATGATGAAAATTACAGGCCTCTCTCATCTTTTTAAGTGGGAGAACCTGCACAATTGGTGGCTGACTAAATATTTTTTGCCCCACTGTATGTGCTGCTGTATGAATTTGCAGTTAAAATTAGGTAATTACTGCTGCTAGGGATGTTTAGCCCCAATTATCAAATTGTACAAAGCTAGTTATACCCATGTTATATGGGGCTGAAGTACAATTACTCTTAGAACAAATACAATCATATCATTTGGGGAATATATTGGGTGCAGATAAAAAAAATCTAGCTGCCAAAGTTAGAGCTGAGTTGGGAATATACACTCTGTACTCACTCAAAAATACAATTACTGGCAAAGACTTCTATGAAGAGTGAGAGACTCCCAAAACTTTGCTTGATGGAACAGATTAAGTTTCAGTTCGTCTCTTCCTGGATAGTACAATTTACAAATTACATTTAGAGTTGGGGCTACCTGGACAAGAAGTTAAGAAAAATCCCTGTTCTGTCCAACTATTTTCTGGTTTCTTTTATTTCCCCTTTCTAAGTGCTTTGCTAGCCTAGCCACCTTTAGAATTCTAGCTCTCCATTTCCATTTAGGTGAGATAAACAAGCTCAATTGCCTACAGCAGTGAAGGCATCACCTACACAGCTCTGTCCATCCAGTCTACCATACTGCAGAAAGCTGTGCTGTACTTTTGGACAATCACTTGTGACCTACAGATGGGGCTGTTCAGGGCTGTCCACTTGATGAATTCTATTCCTGTTTATATCACCGAAATACATCCTGTTCCAGGCCAATCATACATACACAGAGATATTGCTAGGCTTTAATTTGGATTTAAGCAGACAGCAGCAAGCAGGGCATGTGTGCAAGCAAGCACAGGGTTCTGCAAAGTCCCCATCCCACATGAGCTTGCCTGCTAACAAGTTCCAACAGCAAGACTCCAAAGGAATGTGGAAGAATTTAAGCAATTTGAATATTAATGTTTAAGTGTAGGGCTCCTGAGCATAGCCAGGATTTTAAGTACGGCAGTCATTAATTAGCAAGTTTTTAGCTAACTTCACCTCTGTATTAGTAGTTAGGCTTCAAGAGGAAGTTCTTTAGAGCGACTAGAGATAGTTGAAGTTGTGGTTTGACATTTGGTGACTATAACATATTTTAAACTTCTTTGCCTTTTTATAATCTATTTGTAACCAACCATGTTATACTCCAGTAGTTTCTTGTTGCTCAATTATAAATACACCCTATTTTCCCTGTTTCGGGGTCTTGCCCATGGAGTATTACTGAACATGTCCATGTGTGCTTGACCTGGCTTTGCAAACCCATAATAAGTATTTGGAGACTGAAATCCTCTAGTGTCTTGTTTGAGTAGAGAAAACAAATCTCATCTTGTCCCTGAAGGGCAAGTGAGAAGGGAGTGGAAATGTAAATGGGATGAAAATGAATTCCGAAGTTCCTCTTACAGATTTTTCTCCAACAGCCGCAGGCGGAAGCATTGTCAGGTCTTTGCCGGAAAGTCTAGGCATTGCAGTAGGTCATCAGCTGGTCCAGGTTCACAGCGGCAGAGTTTGGGGAGACAACAGACTTCTGGCACACAGGTTTCAAGTAGAATGGTGGTTTCCAATGGGGCTTAATAGAGCATTCCCCAGGTGGGGACCAATCAAGGCTGGAAATGCCCTTGCCAAATGAGAAGGTGCGTAAAGTGCCTTTGCTATGCTTGGGGTACCTAAGCCACTTCCTGGGTCCAGACAGTGCCTTTGCTATGTATACTATGATGAAATTGCCTGGTAGCACCTGAACATTTTCTCCTTTCAGTATAATAAAGTATATAATTGAAGCAGTATTTTTTTCATTTGCCTAATATACATGTTAAGATGAAAAATTCTCCAGTGAATGATCACAAGGTTTAAAGTGGTGTTCTATCCCTGGGATTTTGGTTTGTTTCTATAATAAAGCTCACAAAAATGTTTGATTTTTGAAGTGAGTTGTATTCCAGGAAAAACAGTATTTTCCTAGAATTTTGTTTTGGCTTATAATTTAGATGATGTTCTGTTACAGACATACCTGATAGAAGAGTCATACTCTTGTCTATTAGAGTACAGTGGGTTTAATAATATAAAGAAGAAAGGAAGTATATTCTGAATAATAAGATATTTATTGCACCAGTAAAACAGTGGAAAAATGCAAGCAAAAGGAGTAAATTAAAATCCCAGTGACTGTTAATGAATTAAGTCATTACAATGAGAATCTCCACCAAATGTGGAGACTTCTCTAAACAGAGAATTGTGTAGCAGCAGAGAAGTCCAATACAAGCTAAAATACATGTTTTGTACCTGTATATTGTATAAATCAACAGTTATCTAATTTCATATTGTTAGGTTGAGTTGCAAAAATGCAATGTTAAATTTTAGTAAAATAAAGTCTGATTTTTCATGCATTTTGGAAAACCTTTTTTGTAGTTCCTTGTTTGTAGTTGCTAGCCTTGCTCAATTGTGGTTTACTAGGCAGGTATACTAGGCAGCCTATTCAAATATCTGAAGCACTATCATGCAGAAAAGGGAGCATGGACTAACTGATTCTTGTAAACATTGCTTCTTAAGGCTCTATTGTTCTATTTATTTACATAATAATTTATATCCCACCTTTTATTTTAGGAGCTCAAGGAAGTATGAAGACACTCTTTCTTCCTAATTCTTCCATGACAAAAACAATAATGTGCAATCATATTCATGTGACTTTATATGCAAGGAAATCTCTAACTACTTGCTTTTTAACCTCTGGTTTTGATTTAACTGTCAAAATCTGTATAGTCTGAAACAAACTGGTGAGAAATCCTCCTGTTTACCTCTTAGCTGTCTCTGTTCTTCATTAACTATAAGAATATGTCATTTGTACAAACAGTTCATATCCTAATTTGAAAAGTGAGGAAACTTATCATGGCAACAAAATATACCAACTATTCAGGGCAAAAGATTTGGAATAATTTTTATGCCTGTTTGTTTCTCAAATCAGAAAAGAACATTTCAAAAAAGGGTTACTAATAAAGTTAATTTCTTCTACTCTTCTGGAAAGTTCTATTACAGTCCAAAGTTTGTCTTGGTCATTTCAAATGATTCAACAGATCTAACTTCATAAAATTGCCACAAAATTGATACTCCTAGAGCCTCCATAATTAATACTTGTGTATAATATATCTTTACTCAAATTAGCCTTTTATCATTTATGGCTAAATCTATTGAAAATTACATAATTTCTTTAAGGGGGTAATATTAAGGGTAAAATCTGAAGAAGGAAAATTACTTTGGGGAATGCTGGAATTTGTCCTGTCTGAGATAGTGATTTCTTCTGTTTAAATTCCTGCTTTATCTGCTTTACCAAAGACTTCTAAATTACCTTCTGGAACTGAGAGATTTTGGGAGATATGGATCCCTAGATACAGCCTTCTAATTTGCTATTGTATGTGTGTTTCATGGAAGAGAGCCAGTTTGTCTAGTGATTAAGGCTCCAGGCTAGAAACCAGAGACTGTGAGTTCTAATCCTGATTTAGGCGTGAAAGCTGGCTGGGTGGCATTGGGCCAGTCACTCTCTCTCACCCCTGATGCCAGGCTTGGGCAAAAGCTGGTTGGTCAATTTCTGTCACAACCAACAGATCAACATTCAGTTAATCTGAAAAATGTGGACCTTGCACATGCAGGAAAAATGCTAGGAAGAAAAAAAAAGTGAATTCCACAGATAGTTAAAAAAAGAGGGGGAACTGAGATCAGTTTAGTTTGGTGATATGGAGTGACTTTCTGGAAATTAATGCTAATTATGGGGATTTATTTATTTATTTTATTTTATTTATTTATTGGATTTCTCTCCCACCCATCTCCCCTACAATACGGATTTAGTTACGAAGCCGGAGAGGAATTACCAAGAAATGTTCCCACTAACATATAGATAATTTATGCAGTCTTCAATTCATAGATAGATAAATACAACAAAATAGATAGACAGAAATAGAACCAAGATGACAATTTTAAAAAGTTTAAATAAACTCAGTTTAAAAAAACAACCATAAACATAAAATTGGAAAAAAAAAAAAGGCAGAGGTACAAGTTGAAAAAGCCTATCCTGCCAAAAGTGGAGAGATACAGTTGTGGATCATTACCATAAAATGAAAATTAATATTAATGCCATAAAAAAGTGAAGCAAATAGGCATGTCAAAGTGAAAAGGAGTGTCATAAATGGAGTAAAAAATAAAAAGGGCTGAAGGAAAAATCTGTATAGCAGAAGGAGGAGAAACAGATACCAATGTGATTTTCTTTGCTTTCCTTCCCAAAGTAAAAATTGGACTCAACCATCTTCAGTGTAGCATCATTTGCAAAGTAAATGTTCTTTTTTACACTAATGGTATCTTCTCTTTTTACTTCTTTTGACTTTTTAATTCAGGTTTGAAATTCTCTGGCTCTCTCCAATGGCTAAAATAGAGAACAGTACAATTGGAGTCAAGTAATATTCATGGTATAGTAGGAAACATGTGAATTAAGTATGTCACATCATAACATCAGTATCCTTAGGAAAACCATTTTCAGGATAGTAATTATTTTATATTTGTATATTTTGTGTTGTAAAATTATTTTAAAAATATTCCAAATATTTTACTGCAATATTTATTCTAATTTTTGAAATAGTGTCCTTCTGAATTTTAACATTTACTAGTTTGTAACTAATCAAATTTTGTCACATTCATATTAAACAATATTATTCCTTTTGAGAGCTACTGACTGTCCATTGTGTCTCAGTGAGTAACTGCTAACCAAGTAGAGACTTTGGGAGGAATAGAAGGCAGACAGATTTCACAGAAAAGCTCGCTGAACAATTAATCAGGAAGAACAAAAATGGAGTTGGGGAGGAGAGATGAAAGGGTACTCTATAAAAAAAATCCTTCTAATACTGTATATAGCTGTTAAATAAGAAATAGAAGCTTGTTGATTGTACCTTAAGAAATAAAATTGAAGATGAATGGAGGGGCATCTGCAGGCTTGAAATAGAATACACGTGGTATGTTTATGCTCTTGCCTGAGAATTGCTTGCATACACTTCCAGGAAGTACAAGCTTGAGGAAAAAGTCAGAGGAGTGGAACAGCAAGCAGCCACAGAACCACTCAGATGAGAGACTGGTTATTAGATCAAAGAAAGGAGGTGGTACAGCAAGAACTAACAGAGGAGGCAACTCTTCCTTATGAAATGAAACAAAGGAGCAAGTCCCATCAATGAGAGTGACAACAAGAAGCAAGAGGTATATGAGATAGTTTGCACTGCTGGAACTCAGAAACAACTTTGAAACTCACACAGAAGAAATAGATTCTCTCCAGGAAAAGAAAAAGAGATCTATGGAATAGGGGAAAGGATTGTGGATTCCTGAAGTTCAGTGGGGATGCAATTTCACTCTGCAAATATACAAAAAGGAAAATCACTGTTGTTGCTGACTTACTGCTATGAGAAATCAAAACAAATGTGTAATGACTGGACCATCAGCTTGTGAAGTGAGTTACCTACCAGAAGCAAGGATCAGTGTTATGACAGAAAAACTTCCAAGACTTATTAAGTCTTCTCACAATTATGCCCACCTGCGGAGACAAATGATACCTGCAAAGAAAAACTACAACTGTATCACCATGGAGTTTGAATATCTAGGAAGGAAAACTCATGGCCCTGAGACTCAGGTGGTATTTTGAACCTTACTTTCAGTCTGTTTTAGAGGAATGGAAAGAGAAAGATGAATACTACAATTGAATAGGCTGAGGAGTACAGAATAGCCTTGAAGAAGGAAGAGGGGGTAAGAAAGCAGCTCAAAATATCTTGTCTTGATTCTGTTTGGCATAAAAGAGGCAAAGGAAAATTCTGACAGGCTTTCAAGATTCTACTATTATATCCTATAACAATAGAGTTCCAGTAGTCCTTGTACTGTGTGTTCTCTGACCTGGCCTACCTCAAAGCACCAATATCTGGCTACTATTGGCAGGTTTGGTTTCTTGGGCAATGGTTTTAATTGCTTGGAGGACTGTTGGCATGAGAAGGGTTGTACCTCATAAGAACTTGTAAAAATGTTTTTGGTCAATGCATGGCAAGTTTAATCAGGATGGCTTTATACATAATCCTGTGGGAATGAAAACTCTATATGAAGACCTCAATCAGATGCTACAAAGAAAAAGAGATCTATGGAATAGTGGAGAGGATTGTGGATTCCTGAAGAGATCTTCACTCCCAGGCAAGTCTGAGAAAAATTGCATAAAGACTCTACTAGAGAAGGGATTTAATGGAAATAAAAATATATGCATCATAAATTGTGCACGTAGAGTAAAACCTTGGTTTAAAAGACCATTGAGGAGGAAGGGATGTCCATTAAAGTTGAATATCTGTTAAGTGCAAAGATGGAAAAAGAGGGAAAATACAATGTGGTGGGTGAAAGAGGGAGGGAAAGAGAGAGGTAATAGCTATTTTTTTCTGGCTTGAGACAAGCCAAAGGATATAGAGGGAAAGCATGCCCCTTTTATGCACTAGAGAACACATGGAGAGGCTGCCTAAGTGACCTACACAAGTTGGATGAAAAATGGGGTGCTATAGGACAGGATGGGAAGGGTGGGTGGTACAGTAGGCAAAGTTATAGAAAGCAGTGCCCAAGGATTCTGGTGCAAACTGCTAAAGAGCGAGAAGTCACCTCTGGAAAGTGGAGGAGGTGAAAAATTCATCTGTGCTAAGATGACTCAAAGGGGCTGCTGAGTTCAAGGTCACTTCTTTCCCTGCTTCACATTCAAGATGAAGAATCAGCAACAGTGACTTCTCTCTCTCCTACTTAGAAGAAGTGGAGATAATGTGCAGTGGCTGCTTTGCTTGGGGTCCCTTTTCTCCCTCCTTGGCATTCAAGACAAAGAAAGCAAGGGTGGTGCAATGTTCAGATTTCTTTCTCTCCTATTGAGGGGAGGCAGAGTGTGCATGCATCAAGGAGACAGAAATAAGGAAAAAACTTCTCTCTCTACTACTGGAGTGGTGAGCAAGGTTTTAGCAAGATGAAATGTAACTTTAAAAAGTTCTTTACATAGATGAGCAATAAAGGACAGACAAGTTTCCTTGGGGAAGAAAAACTGATTTTCCCTTATAACACATAAATGTGACAGACAATTGTTATTCACTTTATGGAATCTGATGCCCCTGATACCATTCTGCAGCTGATTAAATCATTTTCATTCCCTTCCTATGGACTGAGATGTGGATCCATGTGCACATATGTGTATGTTTGTATTTGAGGCTAAAAGAACAGGTGAAGAACCCTGCCTGCAAACCTCCAGCCCTACCCACAGCTGACATGTGGGCCCATTTTCCATCACAATATGTGGTATATCTTGTCCAATTCCCTAATTCCCTAAACAGTTGCAGGAAACTCTTGAAAATAATCTTAATTAAAACATGATAACAGTGATGTCCAACAGGCATGGTGATAGTTATTCAAGTGAATTCATGCCCTAAAATATGTCTTCAAATCCTCTAAAATGCTCAGAGTTCCCCAAAGAAGTAAAAAATTCCTGGTTTAAAATAATTCAACTATTTCTTTAATTTCAAAAAAAGTGATTTATTCCACCTACAATTAGAATTACTGGTACTGAAATTTTCCTATATCAGCTTAAATGTTCATACGAACCTTTTTAGCGAGTGCATAATTGATCTGGAGACTGACTTGATAACCATCCTTATGGACAGTAGCAGAAATAAGCTAAAGAAGACAAACAGTGATTAGGTTTGCTTTTTCCTTCCTTCTTCCTATCTGAGGAAGAATAGCTCTAATCATTTACTTAACTAAATAAACCAATGAGGACTAATAATATATTGAATGTTTATCTATACAAGACAAATATGTTCCTGAGTAGAAAGAATAAACTTCAGTCTGCTTCTGATGGATTCATACTCACCTGAAGATTTGATTTCTGGGAGTACTATTGGTATTTCAGCATAGAACCAGAAGGGTCTAGGAAAACCACAGTCAGGAATACTTTGCCCAGCTTCGAATGTGTCTATTCTTGAGATAGTCAGATCTTGTCATGATAGTTGAAGCCTTAGTTATCTCTAGATTCAGTTACTGCAGTGCACAGTGTTTGAGAGGAACTTCTTGGTGGCCATGCCAAAGCAGCTTAGTTCTCTGTCTTAGGTTTACTAACCTTTCTTATTCAGGAAAACATTGTTCCTCAGGGAATGAAAACTTTATCTGCTATTTCATTTTGGCTACTGTGTCCCCCTGCTTTTGTTAAAACCTTTTTAAAAATATTTCATGCATCTTTGTGGGAACCTTGGACTAGATTGAATGAACCATGCCATGTTAGAATTGAGTTATTTGAAACACTGGCACCAACATTAGGCTCACCACCTCATGTAATTATGACTCAATTCTATTCTTCAGGATCAAATCAGGAAATGAAATGGTTTAAAGCAAAATTAAGGTATTAATTAACAGCAATTGTAAAGTATGTCTATTAGAATGTAAGTCTATTAAAATGTAAGTTTGTGTTTCTAAAAGAATGATTGGGTGGCTATTTTAATTGTTTTAAGTAGAAATAGGAAATGGCTAGGCCCCATTAATATGATTCCATACAGGCCTCAGTGTTCCCTTCTACTGATAGGTGAGCAAGAGCTGAACAGGAAGGAGAAGGGCCACAACTATAGATAACAAATGGATGCAAGAGTTTACACAGTATCATTGGAAGGAAAAGAAGAAAGAAATTAAAAATGTTGGCCAAAAGGCAAATTATGTGACTTCATTCATCCAGACCCCATTAAAGAATTCTCCCTGGATAGTGTAGAAGTCACTGGCAGATTGAAACATTTTCACATTTTATGAAAAGAAGGTTTTATTTCTTTCATATACTCCCTTCATTTCCATTCTTCACTTTCCCTCAAAGTGATGAAGGAGATGCTTACTATGTGTTCTCTTTGTTCTACAGAAAGGAGCAGTCAGTCATTCAAAAATGTACTACTTCTTAACATGGAGACTCCAGCTATCTCTCTTGAAACAGAGAGAAAGAGAAAGAGAGAAGACAATAGCAAGAAGAGAAAAACATTGACTTTACTTCCATTTGATCTTTTCTTGAGAAGAGACATTTAAACAGACTGGCTAATGTACCAACTTAAAAGACATACAGAATGAACACAAATACAAAAAGCAACAGGAAAAAACTACTGAAGTACAGGTAGACCTTGCTTAATGATTGCCCTGTTTAGCGACCATTTGAAGTTACCATGGTGCTGCAAAAGTAACTTTACGACCAGCCCTTGTATTTACTATCATTGCAGCATCCCCACAGTCACATAATTGCCATTTGCATGCTTCACCACCAGCTTCCGACAAGCAGAATCAATGGAGAAGCTGCCAGTATAATCACAAGTCACGGTCACGTGATGTCTCACTTAACAAGCCACAGTGACTTGCTTAATGACCATGTGGGAAGTGAGATCATAAGTCTGTCAGGGTCATGTGATGTTTTGCTTAGCAACCATGTCGCATAGCGATGGAGTTGCCAATCCCAATTGTGGTCACTAACCAAGGACTACCTGTATCTCTTTTACCATGGAAAAAAGCAGCTTATGTTTTTCCTCAATTAGATGCTACATGAAAAAGCCAGGAATCAGCTAGTATCATGAACTGTACCAAAAACCTCCATTCCCAGCAAGGTCGTGCTTAAAAAGCTCAGAAGTGACCTATCAGGACCACAGCAGGAAGTTTGAGCTGTAACAGCTCCTTATATCAGAATTTTTTTACCTTTCCCATCTGAGGTTCTCCAATTAATGTCCTAAACTCCATATTATTTTGTGTATAACTTCTAAGATGTGCACAGACATGATCCAGTTGCTTCCTCCAGTAACCTGAAAAAAAATAAGGTGAGGAAGAAGATCATATAAAAAACAGAGAGTTTGCATAACAGAATATTTTAAAAAATCCTGGTATGAATTAAAAAACCCACAACTCATAAAATCATAAAGTTAGAAGTAACTTAGAGATCATCTACTCCAACCTGCTGCTCAGTGCAGGATCCAGCATCTGTCTGAACAGCTCTAGCAAAGGAAAATTTACTTTGTCATATGTCCTCCTTTTCATTGGCTGACAGCTCATGCAGTCAGAAAGTTCCATCTGATATGTAGTGAACCTCCTTCTTTGTAGTTTTAATCCACTGCTTCTGGTCCTGCCCTACACTGCCTCTTTTGTGTATCAGTCCTACAGATATCTGAAGATTGCTATCATACCTTCCTTCAGTCATCTCTTTTATAGGCTAAAGATACCCAGATCCTTTAACTGTTCCTCACAGGGAGCTTATTTTCCAGACCTTTCACCATCTTTGTAGCCCTCCCCTGAACTTGCTCTAATTTGTCACTGTCCTTTTAAACTGTGGTGCCTAGAATGGGACACAGTATTCCAAATGAAGTCTCACCAGAGCAGAGTAGAATAGAACCATTACTTCCTGATCTGAACACTGTGTTCCTGCTAATGCACCCCAAGGTGCCACTCATTACTGGCTCATGTTTAACTTGTGGTTACCAAAGACATCTAGACCCTTTCCACATGTACTATTGCTAAGTCAGGTCTCCCTGGTCCTATACTAATGCTTTATATTTTTCCTACCTAGATACAGCACTTTACATTTCTCCCCTTAAATTCCATCCTCTTAATTTCAGCCCACTACTCAAGCCTATCTGGTTCTTTTGGAAGTGACTCTTTTCTGCTAAAGTATTAGCAGCGCTTCCCACTTTTGTGTCATCCGCAAACTTATTAAACATCCCTTCAACTCCTTCATCTGAGTCATTGATAAAGATCAGTACAGCACAGGGTCTAGGACAGAGGGAAAAGGGAATGACACTCCATTTGATACTACCATCCTAACTGAAGTGGAGCCATTAATGAGCACTCTTTGGGTATGGTCATTCAGCCAATTCTGAGTCCCTCTATTATCTAGCCTGTATTTTTTCCAAAGGCTTTGCTGAAGTCAACTGTGTTGAGGTCTACAGCATCCTTCTGCTCTATTAATATCATCATATTTATTTCAGTCATTGACCAATAAAAATACATACAATAAGACACTAATGATTCTATCAAAGAAGGAGATAAGTTTAGTCTGGTATGATTTGTGACAAATCCATGTTGGCTCCTCTTAACAGCAGCATTCCTAATCAAGTGCTCAGAAACATACTGCTTGAAAATTTGTTCTAAGACTTTATCCAGGATAGATATCAAACAGATAGATCTGTCTTTTTTGAGTCCTCCTTCCCCTTTTTGAAGATGGGGATGTTTGCTCTTCCCTAGTTTTATGGGATTTCAGTAGACTTCCAGAAGTTGTCAAAGATTACCAAAACTGATTATGCAGTCAGCTCTACTAGTTCCTTAGGATATAATTCATCTGGCCCTGGAGACCCAAATTCATTTAAATTAGCTAAGTTCTCTCTTTTCCCCTTTCTTTGTCTGACCTAAACTACAGTTGTCTTCTTTCCCACAAGCATAACAGTGAAAACCTAGGGCTCCATTTCCTTTTTGACATAAGACAGTCAGAAAATAGTAATTAAGAAATTCTGCCTTCTCACCATCATCCATTACAGTCCACCAGGCTCACAATGGATGTATATCCTCTTTGGCTTTCCTTTTGTATATAATATACCCAAGAACCTGTTGAGTAGATGTTTTTTGGGTATTTCTTACAAGCCTCAGCTCAGCTTTAGCTTTTTTGGTGCAATTCCTACAAACTCTGGAGACTACTTCATATTCTTTGGTTATATGGCATTTCTTGGATTTCCTGTATATGGTCCTTCTACAGCATTTTTCTTTTTTGTAGGAATTATTTGCAATTGTGTCTTTGGTAACTCCTTTTGTAGGAATTCTCATCCTTCCCAAACACTTTTCCCTTTCAGGATTTCAACCAGCTGGTTCAATTTACCCTCTGAATTTATCAAAATTCACCCTTCTGAAATCCAGTATAGAGATCTCACTCTTCTCAATTCCTTCTCTTATGGACATCATGAATTAAAAAAATACATGATTGCTTTCTCCCAAGGTGACAATCACCTTCACTTCTTCAATTGATTTTTCCCTGTTGGTGAGTATTAGATGCAGGATAGCAGATCTCTTGTTCTTTCTTCTACCTTCTGACAAATGAAATTTGCAGCAAGGGGGGACAAGAATTTGTTGGACACAGGTTCCCAGCAATCATGATAATTGATATCCCACATTATCACTATCACATGCCTCTTTGAAAGATTGGTCATCTAACTCAGAAAGGCCTCATCTATATCTTCTACCTACCCAGGCAATTGTAATTAACTCCCACTTTTGTTTCTATCTCCTTTTATTTTTACCCTTCAATAGGATTTCCATTCTCCAATTCCTGAATTACTGTTCAAGTATATTCCTTCTTCAGGTACAGTGCAAAGCCCCCATTCTTTTTGTTGTATTTCTTCTTACTGAACAAGTTATAGCCTTCCAGTGCTGTGTGTCCAATATCATCCTATCATGTTTCAGTGATGCCTATCAACAGCATATTAATCTTCCTAGGCTAATAATCTCTAGTTCTCCCTGTTTATTTCCGATACTCTGTATGTTGGTGTAGAAATATCAGACACTTTAATGGTACCACTTAGTGGCTGGTTTTACAAAATTCTGAGCCCCTATCCTAGCTTCCTAATTCTCCCTTTATGTTCTCTGCTTTCTTGGTCCCACTCCTTGGCTGAACAATTAGTTCTAGGCTTTTGCCACCCTCCTCTTCTTCTAGTTTAATGCCCGCTTGATGAAACTGTTGAAGTGCCAGCTAAACATTATTTTCCCTGTCTTTGTAAGATGTAGCCTGTCTTATCCCAGGATTCCTTTGTGAAGGTAGAATACAATCCTTCTCAGCAATACCATCTGTATTGCCAGCTGTTGACTTCCAGGATCCTATTCTCTCTTGTTGCACCACCATGACCTTTAGTGTGAAGAATTAACGAAAAAACTACTTGTGCTTCCAGCTCCTTTGCCCAGCCTGTCCAAAGCCTCATAATCTCTGAAGACTGTTTCAAGATCTCTTCTTGCTGTGCCATTCATTTCTATATGAATCAGGAGGAAAGGTGGGATTGAATGATCTCTGTAATGTCTCTATCATGTCATGCACCTGGAAGTTAACATGTCTCTTGCGATATTGTACTGGATCTGCACAGAATCACCTTAGTGTCAGAATCCTTGCAAGATTTAATAGTAGATTTTAGAGTTGGCTAGTTGGTAGTTGCTTTTTACATGTTGCGGTTCTGCCATTGTAAAAGGTGTGGGGGGGAATGGAGGGAAAATGGATGAAGTAGAGTTAGAGGCAGATGGCTCCTTATCACAGGCGCGGGAATGCTCAAGGCCGTACCAGCGGGAGAATCAGGAGACTAGGGAGGCAAGGGGGAATGAAGGAGGGGAAAAGTAAAAAAAACAGCTTTTGGTGCGCAGAGGCTTAGTCTTAGCAATGCTTTGGAACTGTACACTTG